GCCATTACCTATCATGAGTTTTTATTATCATTGATCTTTCAACTTTGTTTGACCACTTATTATTATTTCATATAGAATTAAATATACATTGGTGATGGTAGAAGATTTTAGCAAGTAAATTGAACTTGTGGCTTTACCAAAAATCTCTTTAGAATTGGTAACTACAACTTTTTTTGTTTGAATACTAGTTTATTTTGGAATACTTGTTGAAGTCTTAATGGATTAAAGAAAAAAGTTTTTTTGGATATTTGAAGCTTTATATACTAAAGCTTTGATAGATCATTATATCATATCTAAAAAACATCTTGAGGCAGATGGCCTAGTTGAGCAGATTATTCATAGTATCAAATATGATTTATGGATGTATGAATTACTTCATGGCAACTATCGTAGTTGAAATTTGATATTGCAATGGATTGCAATGGCTTATCGCTTTAGTAGATAAGCATCTTTGGCATCTTATTATCTTCATCAATTATTATAAGGATGACAATTAATTCTATATAATATAATACATGAGAAGTTAGTTCTAATTGTAGACATAGATGAACTTGAAGTTTGAGCTCAACATCTACATAATCAAACAAAGTTCTTTAAATAAGTTATATTCATGGTTGTAGAGAACTTATCTATTCTTCAACATTGTGACACTTTATAATATGCTTACATTTATAGTAGAGCTTATTGACTTCAGTTGTGAAAATTTTCTAAAAAAACTTATGTGTATTTTCAACTTGAAGTACCTAGAGCACTTGATGTTAAGGCAAGGTTCACAATTATACATATAAAAGATGTGTTGTCTAGTGATATTTTGTTGTTGGAAGACAAGGATGGAAAAGAATGTTAGAAGAATTCAAAGAATTGTGCTCCTTGTCATCTCTCTATTGATGATTCTATACATCATGAATTCGCAATTGTGCCAATTGGTCTTTTTTGTTTTATATGTGGTGAAAAGAAAGAAATCGCTATCCTGCTTTTATGTGATCAATGCCAATATAGGTAATATATGGCATATTTGACACCTTCTATTTTGACTCTCCCTTAAGGAGATTAGATTTGTCCTTGTTGTAAGAAGTCTTTTGGCTATGCCTCATCTCTTAATAAGGATTGAAGATTTCTTCTATTGTGTTTGTCACACACTTTGGTAGTCTAGCTAATATAATATAAGTTTGGACGAGTATAATTTGGCAATAACATCATTGTGGCATTTATCTTCAATGATGTATATTTTGTGATCCTAGTTGATTAGAGAGACTCCTAATCAACTAAGGGAAGGGAAGAGGGTCACTTGAAAGTAATTTGGATGTGCATTTGTATTTGGTTTAAATTACATACTTTGTGATTGGTTTGTAGCATTTAATGTGTTATATATAATGATCTTTGTTTATATGACAATTATCATGTGATATGGCATTGGGTGCCAAATCTTGTTGAATGTATGTAGTTTAGTTTGGTTAATAGTTTTTTATCCATTGATAGTTTTTTTGTTAGTTGATTTTATTCATATTAAATAGGGTTTGAATACTTAAGTAGAGAAAAATGCTGAACTTAATATTCTTATCTAGTCAAGTCTTATGAGTGATTTTGAGAGTGAAAAAACTTGTTATAAGGGTTTGTTTGGCTATGGTGATTTAGCCATTTTAGTAAAGCTTTAGGATTTCTCTTATTTTTACACTTGTACTCTTCAATTTCTCCTTTGTGGTATGAAAGCTTACTTGATTTAGTTTTTTGTAGATTTCTAATTTTTCACTTGAGAGTGTGTTGGATGTGCATTTGTATTTGGTTTAAATTACATTCTTTGTGATTGGTTTGTAATGATGGAAGCATTCAAAGAATTGGTTTGCCTAATTGTCGTTGTCTAATTGTAGTTGTCTTGATTGATCTATTTACAGATGGGAAATTAATGCATGCACCTCTAATTGTTAATTCTGCCCCATCAAGTCTCTTACAGAACTGCGATTGTTGCTTGCTCCTGCTCTCACACCAATCAACTCATTCTTTCGCTCCCTGCAAAGCAGCCAATAATCACTAAACGCTTCACAAAATGAACAATAAAAAAGAGACGTCTCTACTTGGCACTCAATCCTCCTCCCAATTTTCTCAAAACTTTTGCTCAAATGTTTGATAGAGTTGTTGCACTTGAAGCACGACCTACCCCAGTTCAGCTTCTTGCTTGAATAGTTCCTATGAGATGCCGAAACATTTAACTAACTCTCACAAAAATTGTACTGCTATGCAAAGATGGTCAATGTTAGAGGTGTATTTGTGAAGTTCAATAGCTAGAGGCGGTTGAGTGCAAATCGTCAAAAAATTATACATGAGCTATCTATGCCTCCTAACAATGACTTCAAGAACCGAGTCCCTCTCATGAACATTAGGAAAAAACTCAGAGCTTCCAATTTGAGCTCGACGTCCACCAAGAACCCATGCGACAATCCTCATCTTAATTTTTTTGACCCTTTTGCGCCTCACCGCAAGCCTCTGCGATTACTGGTCATGCCCGACTATAACCGCCCTTGCAATGGAGGAAGTATCCTGGTGTGGTGGCAACTTACCCGCGCATCCAACTACAGACTGCATATAAGCCCTATCTGGTCGAATTCAATGTTCTAATCCCTCAAGAATTATTTGTCTTGGATTTCAGTTAGCTAGGTCTAGCTCTCTGCAGAGGCATTCAGCTGAAACTCCGCCTCTTGGGTTACCAAAACACAAAAGCTTGAAAAACGAATTTAAAACAGGAATCAGTAGGTGGATACAATTGTGATTGTTGATTGGATCGGGTGAAAGAAGCTGTGTTTTTCTTTCTGCGAATTGGGTAGAGAGGAATCGGTAGCTAGATTCATTCGCATCGTAGTGGTAGTTGCTGAGTGACGATAGGAAGTAATTGGAGATTTGTTGGGACAAGTGGATTTTCTGTTTTGGATTTAAACAGGTTTGGTGATATTTGAGTGTGAAAGATTGAATTGAATTGTTGGTGGGTTTTTAATGGAAATTGAGAATTTCGAGTCTATGTTCTTGGTTGCACTTGCGATCAGTTGTGAGTGAATTGTGAGAGACACGCTAGTTGGCAAAGAACTGCTTGTGAGTTTGCTAAGGGGTGTAGATTTGTTCAAAGAGTTAGTTGATTCTCGGTGGAGATGAAGTTTTGAGACAATTGAGAGGAGGATTGAGTGCCAAATAGCGCCGTCTCTTTTTTATTGTTCATTTACAAGATTTTGTGAAGCGTTTTGTAATTACTGTCTAATTTGCGGGGAACGAAAGAACGCGCCGATTGGTGCAAGAGCAGGAGCAAGCAAAAATCGCAGGTCTGTAACTTAGAGACTTGATGGAAGCAGAATTATCAATTAGAGAACCAAGCATTAATTTCACATATGTAAACAGGGAGGCAATCAAGATGACGACAATTAGGCGAATCAACATGCATTAGGGCAACCAGGGGAATGCCAGGCTGAGTCCAAGTTTCGGCCACATCAAGAATCCTCCTTGTAAACTCGGAAAGAAATGGAAGGGACCAAAAAGTCGTAAACCCGGAAAGAGATGGAAGAAAGGGCCGAAAAGTGGGCCACACTTTATGCAAATTGGGCCCATTTGAACCTAGAAACAGAGCATTGGTGATAACATTTCAGAGTGAAGGGTTAATTTGATATTATCACAAAAGTGAGGTATGTGTGCTAATGTCAAAAATACACGGGTATTCTTGATATTTCAGCAAATTACAGGGGCGATATTTTCCCTATATATAATTGAAAAACAGAAACAAAAAAACATATTTACATCAAATAATGTGTACCAATACTCCATTTTCTGTATTATTTTACCAAGTCACTTTTGTGGTGGTGTGTATGTTATTTTAACCAGAATTGGGACCAAGTGTCAAGCTTTCCTCACTGCTCAAAGATTTGGTCTGTATTCATACCTTCATAAATGCCTTCCAACATGGAACCTTGTTCAGTTCTTATCACAAAATATCAATCATCTAATCCAATGTCATGATTCTTCAAGTTTGTTGTATGTTTGAATTTGATAGAAGAGTCGCTTCAGGAACTTATCCCCTTTGAGTACACCACCACAAGTTTGTAGGTTCAGCAAATCATACCTTGAACTTTTGCAACAAATTCCAACAACTTTTCACAAACAAAAGGAAGAGACAACGAGGGACAAGAAGCAGAAAAAAAATTGAGTAAATCCAACCAAAACTCTTCGTTTTCTTCGTCAATGCATGGCCCGTGGCCTGGTGCATCAATTCGGTAACTGTCTCACATTCATCAATGTTTCATCAAAATCAGGTTGGCAATTCAGATTCTTCTCTGAGGGATCGGCACTAAATCAGGAATTCTCACGTTTTTCATTGACTAGTTACACAAACTTGCTGGTTCAGCCCCATTAATATGCCGGGAGCTGGGATGAAATTTGTCGCGTGAGCGCCATTCACAAACACGCAACCCATGAACCACGTCAGAGGAGTTGCTGCATGATGACAGTGGTCATGAAATTTGCAGGGGCATGGCAGAGACCTCACGAGCTATTCGCAGGAACAGATCCAATTGTATCATCTCGCATTGCCGTTTTTGTGACTCAGACCTGACACGAGACGCGCAGCGTGCTGCAAACAAGCTAGAAATTTTGCCAAGAGGAAGAGTGTTGGGTTGTACACACTTCATCACAGACCAGCGAAACGAGGAGACTAAAGCCTAGTAAGCAGGTGGATGTATGTCGACAGTGGCTCCCCATGAAACTCTAATCCTCGCTGAAAATGCGAACTGTCTCGTGCGCAGCATTGTTGCCACTATTTGAGCTGAACACTAATGTCAGGCATTTGAGAGTCTACGAATCCTTGGTACTCCGACAATTTTTGGGACACTTTTGAGAGCAGCATGCAGCTACGGAAAAACAAATTCGTCCGCGAAAAACAGGCTCGCCAGTAGAATACACGTTGCAATGTATCCGAAAACACCAGACAGGAACAGATTCTGCTCAGTACCGCAGATCACGGGATACTCTCAGCGAAAAGGTGAATGTCACCATAAAATTAAAATTAAAAAATTAAAAAAATTAAAAAAATCGAGGATTAGTGCGTAAATGTGCCCTCAAGAATGCCATACGCTGAATTCCACTCTACATTACCCGATCAAGCTAAAGCTGAAACCGAACGTACATTAAATACCTCCCATGCTCCCTATCACCAACCGCTACACAATGTCCTACGTCTCTGCTCCAACTCCTGCACACCACCCAAAATGTCCCCTCCTCTTTCAGTTGTTCGCCAACACAAGAAACCCCACTGTGATGTACAGCAACAGCACCGGGTACACGGCCAGCGCCTTCCGACTCGACGGTACTGCTGTGCTCACGAACGGGTATGCCGCCCACGAGCTCCACGCCAACGCCACAAGCACCACCAGGCTCCGAAACAACTTTGTGTTGTTCACCTGGCACACCAGCGCGCTTACGTCCAGCGGAAACAGGCAGTACCCCAACACGCTCAAGCTCTGGAAGAAGATGATGCTCCCTCCCAGAAGCTGCACATTCAGCGTCAGCACTATCGCCCCCGCCGACAGTGTCGCAAACACCACCGCGAACACCTTCGACTTGTTCTCCGACGCCGAGTACGACAGCGTCAATGCTAGAAATATGATGAAGAAGAACGGGCCCCACAGATCCCAGTCCCTCAACGCTTTCCCGGGGTCCTCACGGTACGGGTTCGGAAGCACCACGTCCTTCAGGTTGTTCGACACCCTCACCAAGTCTCTCTTCAGCGTCTCCCATACTGGTTCCGTCAGCGTGTTGTACTGAGGGCCTCCGCCGAAACCTGCACCCACAACCGCTCAGCCTCAGCACCACCACACTCACCAATAATCTCCCAAAACCATCTTCTCCCAACACTTCCTGCCCCGCTTTCCTACGTACCCACTTCAACTCTTCCTCCCCACCCACACCACCATCCCATCCTCTCTCACCACCTCCTCATCCCTTTCACGCACCTGTAGAAAGCGTAGGCCCAGCCGGTGCTGGGGTGGAGAATGCCTGGCTGCTGCTGGAAACCGACGAAGGAGGCAGCAGAGGTGCGGACACAGGAATCGTCGGGGGACTGGACGGCTTTCGAGCGGGAGGAACCGACTGGGGCACCTCTAGGGTTGCAGGCTGCACGCTAATGTTGAACAAACTCTCGATCTCATCGATATCCGATTGCGATGACGTGTTCAGATTCATCCTGTCAATTCCGGACATTGTAACATGCAACACCCCCCACCTACTTCACCAGAGGAAGCAGGAAACAGCTATTCAGATGCTTGAGATCACTCCATCAACCCCTGAGAACACCAAAACAACAGAACAGGACGTGTGTCAATCTACAGAGAGTCATTAACATGGAAGAATCTATGAATAGTTTTTCAGGTAACGCATACAAATAAGTTATTAGTATATTCACTAGGTCACGGCCTGCAATAGTACTTTTTCATTCGTAGTAAGCAGGGTTTTCTGCTCTCCAAGGATAGGAAAACGTGGAGTGTATTCAGAACAGGGGATTATGTGAACCATTGCGAAGTTCAACACTAAGATACATGAAGTTGCCATTAACGGGCCTCTCCCAGTGGTAATGGCAATCGAGGATTTTCGACCAGGGTCATGCAGCTAAAAAACATCACAGAAGAAACCCCCATGCTTTTACTAAACCAGTACATCCAATGATTCCACAGGATGTGCGTCGTGCGGTAAGCTCAAAAACCCCGTGTGGAAACCATACCGACAGCTTAATCATGCCATAGGTGGAAGAAATATAATCTTAAAAATTAATACGAACTTCCGCATAAGAACCGGTGCAGTGTCAGAATCTGACATGGCTCAGGACAATTGGCACCCACATTGCCCCATTGGACAGCGGAGGATCTTGATCCTAAAAAGCTTTCGTGGTCGATAGTCAAGCACCTCCATGAGCAACATAGTCTTAAAATGGATATGTGTTGGATGTTGCACCAGGGCAACAGTGGATCGAGCGGAAGCGAGATTTCCCCTACCTTACGCAACTGAGAATAGCCACACTAGGACCTAAAACCTAACGAACATCATCACCTAGAGTACCCACTTCGACGACAGCCATCACAAATTTGAGGGAAAGTCTTTCAGCTCCTTGGAGACAAAACGAGTCAGAAGAAACAATGACAAAATCTCAAAAGTGTTCCTGAATGACATACCAGGTTGAAAATAAGTTCACGACTTCCCACCGTACCACGCTTCACGATTGCCACCACCAAGACCTGGATTTCACCTAAGACTGTACAAATATCAAGAAGCCACTACAGAAACCCAAAATACTCACTCTCAATGCACTTGTTGTCCAAATCCGAAACCTAAAATATGTAATCCGTTAAGAAGAGCAGATCCAAGGCAAATCAGAACCAAATGAGACAAAGAAAAAATAAATATATATATATATATATATATCAACCAGGGGCCAGTGCGAGGAATTCAACTTACAGAACCCGCATCACCGATTTCGCGATCCAATGCGAAAGCTGCTAGACGTGGCTGTAGCGCCCACGTCTGAGAAAACACAACAAAGCATTAGCGCGGCGACGATGTTGACGAAGCATTCGCTTGGCCTGAAGCTCCAGAGGCGCTAGGGGCTCTCAAACTGACGATCATCATCCAACTTTGACGAATGTGGTCAAGTATTAACATCCATAAAGGACCCCAGCATCGCACAAGTCAATCATTTGAGTTCATGGGCACCCGCCCGATCACCGACTTCCCCGATTGTTGTGCCATCCGTTCCCAACTCGTTCCCTATGGCTATCTTACGACTTAAAACATGAATTATGTAGGTAACGAATTTGCAAGGCAAGATGAGAAATATATGAATAGTATTATTATGTTATATATAAGAGAATGTTAAATAGATCCATGCTTTAAATCAACCCACCGTTGATGAAGAATATGGTAATCATGATGAATGTAGTTAGTTTTTGTTGGTTGCAGATCCAATAGTGGAGAAATGAAACTAAAGGTTGCTTATTTTATTCATGATACATAGGATAAATAGGTCAATTTAGTGGAAACTTGGGTTCATTTAAAAATATCATATATATATATATATATATATATATATATTTTTTGTTTCAAAACTTTATTATTTAAAATATAATGGAATATGGTTATTATTAAGCTTGATTTCTATAAATTTTATAATAAAATGTATAAATGTGTGTTTTAAAAAATTAATTAGTATTATTTTAAAAATATATAATATTATAGAATTATGTCTATTTGGTAAAACACTTCAGAATGAAAGAGTAGTTCTAATTAAGTGACTTAACTACAATATTTATGTACAATTCAAACAAGTAAGTAATTCTTATTATAAAACTTATTTGTAATTCAATTGAGAAGGCAGTTCTAATTATGTTTTAATTATATTCTAATTGTGTAACTCAATTGCAATATTAAAGTTATTATAAGATTTGTACAAAAAAAACCTTGCTCAATACCATCTCTTCACTTTCTACACTTCAACATGAGAATGCAAACTCTTTGTTGTTATGACAATACAATGGTTTTTACTAGTTTATTATATAAAAAAGATCACTTCAAATAAATCAATCTCTAGACCAACATAATATATATATATATATATATATATATATATATAATATTAATATTAAACATAAAAAATATTTTATTTAAGTTCAATAAGTTTTATACTTAACTTTAAGTATGTATTTTGATGATATGTTTATGTGTTATAAATTATGAGAATGATATAATATATATATATATATTCTATCAAAAAAATATTTTAAAATATTCTATACATGTGATTAATATTTCCTAATCTTTATTTCATAATTTTAGTTAAATTTTACCATATATAATACTAATAATAGTTCCATAAGTTTTACTATTATTTATAAGTAAAAAATAATAAATTATAAAATACATATCATTAAATATATTTTTATTTTTTATTTTTTTGTATTAAATATTTTTCATAGTTTCTTCATAATTTTTTATTGTTACTAAGTAAATCCTCATTTAATTTGATTGCAAATTTTACTTCTTTATATGAAATAGAAAAAGAAAAAAAAATTAAGTATAATTTATCTTTGTATCTTGTTAAATTCTTCAATATGTCATATCCTCATGTTAGATAAGTATTCTTTAATTTAAAAGAGAAATTTGATACAAATTCTCTATTTTTTGAATTATTATTATTAAAAATTAAAATAATAAAAAATTAAAATACTTATATAAAAAATATATAAATATTTATATAAAATATATACTTTACAATAGTTAATTTGAATATATTGAGTATGTTTTTACATGATGTTAATACTATAATATATATAACTATATATATAGTTATACAATATCATCTTGTTACATTTGATTATAAAAATAAATAAATACACATACATGTATTTTCTTTGTTGTTTTGAACTCCTTCATTTCTTTTTCTTTTTATTTATTTTAAAAAGAAAATAGTGGAAATTATAAAAATATATGTATTAAGCTTACTACTTCACACATTACTACTATTTAAATTTTGTTTCAGATTAACTAGATTAAGATGCTCTTGTTAATATACAACTATCAAATTGTAAAATAAATAACTTATAATGTCTACATTTTTTGCTAATGAAGATATTGAATAATTCATATGATTTCATTATCTAATATAACACATTCAAGATTAATAGTTAATATGTTACCTTAAAACATATAACTTTTACAATACATTAGATTTGTACAAGGCAATTTCAATCAATGAAGAATGACAAAAAATTAATAATATTTCTTATATTAAACACTCTTACCAACAAATAATATAATATGAGTGTCATATTTTTAAAAATTCATTACTTTATAAATTTATTTTCTAAAGATTTAACAACATCTTATTTTTCTAAAATTATCTAATTCTAAAAGCTTTGGTAATACTGACACTTAATATATATATATATATATATATATATAGTGTTCTGATACATCATTACATTTTCAAATTGCAATTCAACTTCTTTTTTCTTTTTTTTTTTCTTTTTTTTTTTCCCTTTTAATTCCTAGAATAATCTTCAATCTAACGTCTTAAAACTTACAACCATTTTATCTAATCATTCTTGCAACTAAGTGTAATTAAAAAAAAAAAAAATTATTTAGCCAATAAACAATATATTTCATAGTTGTACACTAACTTTTACTTTGTTAAAGATGAAGCTTTAAAATAAGATTCACTTAAATAATTCTTGATGTTTATAAACTTAATTTAAAACATACCCATATTATCACTTTGTAGTCTCCACACATAGATACACATACATACATACACATACATAGACATATATATATATATATATATATATATATCCAAGCAGAAGCCTATGTTGTTGGGCATTATAATCTCTTGCATTGCCATCCATCCATTCTTTCAATCATCCATGTTTCCATGTTTGACCAATGAGATGGCTTCTTTGTCTCTTTATCTTATATCTAAGTTGCTCATGTTTCATTCTTCATGACCAATCAAAAACCTTCTTTATCTCTTTTATGTTATATGCAAGCTGGCTTATATAATAAATTTATTACAATTAATATGTTACATTTTTTCTTTTAAATCATCTTTGGACAATAAAAATAGCATAAATATTAAAACTTTTGTTACACAAATTCTACAATACATTTTTAATGTTAATAAAGTGTTGGATTTCAATTCTATTGATAAATATAGAATATTAGAAACATCTTTGATTTAGATATATTTGTGTCAAATATTTTTATTTACTCTTAGATCTATATATGGACATTATGTTTTATTATTAATATTATAAAATAAAGATTGTTACATCTATATATGGACCTTGATACTAAAATGCAATCCTCTATCTAATAACACTTCATTAAATGCCCAACACATGTTGGAAATTTCTTTAACAAATAAGGGTAAAATTGATAAATCATATTTATACAACTATTGAAGTTATTTTCCATAGCCCACGACATGATACCACTTGATGCGACGCAAACCAACCCACGTTTGAAATTCTCCAAGAAAAAAGCAACTCTGCTAATTACCCATATCCTATGACCGAGTAGCGTGCAAGACCGTGAACCGATCAGCGTGGTAGCCGCGAGACGGTCTTAGGGTGTGGCCGTGCTAAGGTCCGTGAGCTGCACACGGACGTTACGGCATAGCGTGAAGCTCGCTTGAGGACGGAGACAAACACTTCACCACCCTGCTTAAATTTCCACTCTCGCCTTCCCGATTGCAGCGCAGTTTGGAGAAATGGCGACAATTCCCATGAGAGTTGGTGGGTTTTTGGCAATTTGGGCTTTTCTCTGCAGTGGGGTGTTTGTGGGTGTTGATGGGTTTCAGTGGAGGGACGGGGATTCTTCCTCGTTAATTCGACCTGCGACAGAGAGGCAGGGAGAATTAGCCGAAGGGAAGCTGGATGTCGACCCGCATTTCATTGAGAGCCTGCCTGGGGCGCCCCCAGTGCCATTCGCCATGCGCTCGGGGTACATTACAGTGGACGAGAAGGCGGGACGTGCCTTGTTTTATTGGTTTGTGGAAGCGGATGTGGCGGATTCTGCCTCGGCGCCCCTCACCTTGTGGCTTAATGGAGGTGGGGAGAGGTGTTTTGAATAATTCTGATTGCCTTGTCGCACATTGTAATGTCAGTATTGTGTTGATTGTGGGTTACCAGGCACTGTTGGAATCAGTCTCCGAGCTGCAGCCTCTCCTCTCCGAAACTGCTGGGTTGCTAGATTCATTTCTATGTCTATTTGACGTCCAGCATTTTTTGATTGTCGAAAAAGAACCTGCGTGGGTGTTGATCAGTGGTGAAACTTGTACAGGCCCTGGATGCTCGTCTGTCGGTGGAGGAATGCTGAGTGAGCTGGGACCGTTTTATCCAACGCCCAATGGACGTCATCTGCTTAAGAATCCGTATTCATGGAATAAAGGTAGGTGCTTCATTTTTCTCAGGGTTATTTCAATTGTCCTTGTTTCTGATCATGATGGGTCGTTGTTTCGAAGCTTGATGCTAGCTGTTGTGGATTTTAGTCCTTTTTACCAATTCGTAAATAGGAGACTGTTCACATCTTCAATTCAAGAGTTATCCCTCTTTGTTAGGTGCACCCCGCTGTTCTAGAGAGAGAAGGCATATATGATGTTTAATCAACTCGTTAACGCTGAAGTTCGTGTTGGATGGTGCTTTATTCGCTTGTTTGCAGTTTCGAACATGCTTTTTCTGGAGTCTCCAGCCGGAGTAGGGTTTTCTTATTCAAATACCACAGATGATTATCGTACTGGTGACCAGCAGACTGGTATGATTCGTGTGGTCTTTGGTTTACCAATCTCTATTACACGTCTAAATCCTTAGAAAACCTACTAGATCCTCAATTAAATCTGTCAGTACCTTAGTTTATGCCAATTCTTTTTAATGTGCAACAAAGCACTGGTAATGAACTCAGATGCCTAAGGTGCACGAGATTCTCACACTGCAGTTTGGATAGGTGGTTTTTGGTTTTCACTTGAGAGCCGTTCGGATTTATGAACTATAGCTGCTTAGATGGGTTAATATGTATCAACTCTTGCATGCAACGAATTCCACCTGTTTTGGTGCCTAACGATACATCTTGTGCTCTTTGGTAATTTCCCAGCTCAGGATTCCTACATTTTCTTGCTTCGTTTTTTTGAGCAGTATCCTCAATATTCCTCGAATAAGTTCTACATCTCAGGCGAAAGCTATGCAGGTAACGAAATTTTTGAGAGGATGTAGATGCGTTAGAAATTACTTCACTCTACATGCAATGCTCTTTAGTTTTAGAGAAACACCTCATTTCATGCAGCGCTCTATTCAGCATCCCCTTAAGTTCTTTTCTAAGTGCTGATAATGGAATCAAGCTCTTAGAATTTTGTGTCGAACGTGTGTTCTTTTGCTAAGAGAAAGTGCGTTGCGTAGGTCATTACGTTCCCCAGCTGGCTGTTGCTATTTTGGAGGGCAACAAGGTTGTCTCAAACAAGAAGATCAACTTTAGGGGGATGGCAGTAAGTGGACTTGAACTGAATTTTAACATCTTCGTATTTTCATTAAAATCAAGCGTGTTGGTACTAGAATGACGTGTTCTAAACACTGATAAGGTACAGACTTGACGATGCTTGTCGCCTACGTACACATCAGCCATTGTTTGTTTTAGAGATTTGTGCTTCAGCTAATATGTCAAGACTTCGTCGCAGGTTGGCAATGCATGGACAGATGCAGCTGCAGATAACTTTGGAGCAATATTTTACCAGTGGACGCATGCTCTAATTTCTGATGCGTCATTCAACGGCGTCGTAAACAAAGTGAGTGTTATCTCTTTCTTTGCCACGTTCTTAGTCTGGTTGCTTCCACTGCCCATGCCATTAAAACAAGTTTGACGTTTGCAGTGCAATCTTTCGGCTATGCTAGTTGATGATGACGCATTTCATGGCGTTTTAAAAACTGTGGGCACTGGTTCATCTGTCGAACCCCTTGGAAGTAACTCAGTCGATGAGTGTAACAAATATGTGAGAGATGCGAACAATGATATGGTAAGTTTTCTGAATTTAGATAATGTAATTATGGTACATGTTTAAGTTTTTGTTGCTCACCTGTTTCATACATTGCCACAAAAGCCTGACATTTTGAACTAAGTTTGTCTATAAGCTGGAGTTATTGATGCAGGGTTGGATGTTTTGGGTGTGATGAATAAGGTTCGTTATATTCCTAGTTTCACATGTACTCAGTCTTTGAAGTAATTCTTATGTCAACGCTTGTGACCTGTAGGGTGACATCAACATCTACGACATATATGCAGATATTTGTGTATCTGCTCATGCTCAGGCTGAAATACGTCAACTTGCCAAAAAGGTAAATCATTAACGACTGGTGATGTGATTTTCTTTGTTCAACACCTTTTCTGTTGTCAGTTTTGAGAATGTAAACGCTTTCGGCAAAGCTTGAGTTCTATTTTTTCACTTGAATGTAGATAAGCATTTTGTTCTGGAGCAAATTGGTCGAGAATCTGAACGGTATCTATCATAGAATGTCTGAAGAATTGCCTGTTTGATTTGCAGTTGAGCCAAAGTCCTTCTAGTAGACCTCTACTGAAGACCTCATATGACCCATGTGTTGATGATGAGGTGGGCATTCTTGTTAAGTTAAGAAAGAAAAGTAGCGAATTTGACTCCTTGCCCATGTGCTGTGGTCCAATGAAATTGGCCTATTCTTTTACATTTTCTTTCGCTTTACCATTTATTATTCCCTTATGATTGTTGGTTATGTATGATAGGTGGAGGTTTATTTAAACAGACCGGAAGTACAGAAGGCCTTGCATGCCAACACTACACTACTTCCTTGGCGGTGGACTGACTGCAGGTGTACCTCAAATTCATTCAGTGTTGTTTTTACCATCGTTGCACGTGGCCCTAGAGCTCAGCGCGATCAATTGGAATTTAAATAACGAACATATGTTCAATAATGGGTTTCTGTTTCCTGTTGCAGTGACGTATTGAATTACTCGGATGACGACGTTTTGTTGAGTATCCTCCCCCTTTACCATACTTTGCTGGAATCTGGCATTGAAATATTGATCTTCAGGTACTGCTCCTTACCTTCATATCCATACTCTGACCACCAGGTGGAAGTTGGAGTTCTCCACTAGAGTTTGGGTCTTGAAGGCCTTATGTGTGAACTTGTACTTCCTTTGCTTTATCAGGATACCGACTAGATTGTATGTATGCTTATAAAGAAGAATCTGTTGGTTGACAGAATTCGCTTCTCCTTTGGTAGTTGATAGCTGTAGCTGTGGGCTTGACCTCTACTCAGTGTGTTCACGTGTCAGCCTACCAGTGATATTTCTGACCTTATGAGTTCTTTGCATTCAGTGGCGATATTGACGCCATTGTACCCGTCGCTGGCACCCGCGTCTGGATCAACACGCTGCCATTGAACATCACGGAGGTTTGGAGACCATGGACTTTCGAAAATCAGGTATGCTGTTTTTCCACGAGGCTTCTATCTTCTCATTTTGTTTTGACATGTTTTTCAATAGAAGAACGGAGCGGGCAACTGATACCATTTCCGGAGACGATTTGCACTTACTTGTAGGCTTTTGTTATTTTTTCTCCTGATTATTTTGACGCTCAGTAGGCACTTGGTGATTTCACTAGCTATGAGGTGTAACTCCCATGCTTCACCGTTTCTGCTTGGTATAGCCTAAGTTGACCTCAAGTTTCGTTCTCTTTCAGAATAATTTCTGATAGTCGATTTCGTGGCTCTACAGGTCGGAGGTTACGTTACTGTATATGATAAACTTACATTTTCGACGGTTAGAGGCGCAGGGCATATGGTGCCGTACACACAACCAGCCCGTGCTCTGCATCTGTTCCAGTCTTTTATCAACAACAAGCCCTTATAAATTCAAGATTATGAATATCTCTATAAAGATGTAGATGACCTCAGGTTTGGCGTCACGCCAAGTTTGTGCTTGTGTAGAAAGGACTAGTATGCTGACGGTGAAAAGGTTTTTTCATCTCCGCTGGGAGCCTGGTCGTTCGTTTTTGTTGTAGAAATATTCTATAGTTGCATATCATTTGACGACAGACCAAGCATCCCAGCTAAGAATTGGTTTTCTGTAGTTTCAGCTCTCTTCGCTTTCCACCGAAGAATTGCTAAGATTAATGATAGATGACGCAGATAATCTTAATTGTGTAGTGGATGCCTGCCATTGTATCCGATTCTCCAAAAACAAATTAACCAAGAAAGCAAGTTGATTTTGATAATGATTACTTTATACTGCCCTAACATACAGTAGTTGGGTACCTCGTATGAATGGCTACTAGTCCCAGAAGCAATCTGGTGAGCGGAAGCAAATTCTTAAGTGCATTCAGTACAAAGATGTGTAGATGAAAAATCGGACCTACTATGTCTATGAATTGAATGTGCTCTACTGTAAGAGTATCATACCAAATGGAACATGTTCGTGGCTATTTTAACTTCCAGGATACTTACAAGGAAACATCTAGGAACAAATTTCACAACAGAAAGAAATTAAAAAAATCAAACCTCAATTCGATCAATTTTTGAGGTTGAAAAGGGCCAAATCAAAGAATTATTAGCTAAGTTGATTGTGCTCTTCAAGACAAGGTATAACACGCAAACTGAAAGAAAAGTCTCAAACATCTGTTTAACTAGAAATCACCATCCACTATCACTTCGATATCGCTGAACAGGTACCCAGCGCGCATTCTGACCTTTTTGCTTAAAACACCCACCATCCATGCATGTCGGTAGATATGGATGCCGGGTGCTGCCACAGATTTTGGGCAGCTGGGCAACCAATTATTGGCCTGTCTTAAAATATTGGCAGCAAGGGTTCAGGGTTCCTAAATAAAAACATAAAATAATTTTTGGGCAATCAAACAGGATTAAAGGTTTAGGATTTATTAAAATGTTAAGGGGAGCCATTTAGATTTTCAGAACAGTACCAGGTACCAGCTGGGTACCTATCACTTTGGAATAAAGTAGACGGTGGAAATTACTGAGATTTAATCCAGAATGTATGACTGGTAAATGATAGCAAGCAGGGACCGCTACTTTCCAATGTTACTTCGTTTTCTACCATGAAATCTGATGGAAACAGCCAAATCCTTCAGAAATAGCATCAGCAACTACCAAACATTACCTTTACAAACATACATTAGATGAAATGCGCACTACAATTGCCACACTATTGTGTGGAATTGCACGGGATCTTTAAAAACGTGTAATTTTTCGCAGACATATTCCTAGTACGATTGTAACACACATGGACACTGAATTTCTGGATTAACAATCGTTCAAGCACCTCACCAGAGGAGCAGAGAAGTTGAGGATTATCATAAGGAAAAATAATTCCTTCTACATTGCATTAAGTGCTTCAAGCTGTTTTTGAAGCTCATCTAAGTCATCCAAGTCACCTCCAGATTGCACGAAGTCATTCCCTGTAATCTCGGTATTGTGCAAGTGGTCCGACTCTGGAAGCTCCCGCCGCAATCCATCAGGCAAACTGTTTGCTGGGAACTCAGAAACACCCAGTTAGGATTGCTAAGATACAACAAACCAGTCGACAATTAGCAGATTGCTCAGAAGCTGAAAATGTAAAGCAATTTCTTACCTACTGATGAAGTTCCACCGGCCGACTCGCTGAAAATCACTGGATCATCGTCATCCACTAAACTGTTGGAAAAAAGAGTAAGCACTTCTTAGTCATCTGCCCGGTTGTGAGGACACCTCAAACCAAGAACGTGAGAACTGGCGGCTACAGAAACCACGTGCATCAGTTGCCAAAGAAAGTGAATTTAGATAATCACAACGATTCAAAAATGTGAATTGTGTCCTTCCTAACGATGCAAAGTGCATTATGAAATTCGACATCGCTTCACTTAATTTCTGTTGTTCCAACTTGGCACGTGAAATGAAGAGGGTCATTTGCAACTGACCAGATATTCCACTCATTCTCTGTATGTAGTGGCACTTGCGCTGCAAGACTTGCCTCTTCAGCTTCTGCTTCAGCCTTGGCCTTTGCAGCAGCATCTCGTACTGGTTTTTTTGCTGCATATTCACGCTGCAAACTCAGGCAAGTCACGAATCAATATTATGCGATTAAACAAATGCTTGATATAACAGATGAAATGTTCGTCATGTGTAGGGGAGAGCATTCACAACTGAATAGGACCACGCAACCGCTGCAACCTACTTCAGAACTGAAGAAAGTCATGCCAAATAGGATTTGAAACGGCAAAGTACATGAATGCATATAACTTGCCAGATTCTCAATGATGTAGAAATAGAGGCGATTCTAGCCACTAATGCATTCTTTGATAACATGGTGCTTACCTGACATTCTAAACAAGCTGTATTAGAACACTGAGGGTTAGGCCTCATCTCCATAGTTGGAAAAAAGTCCTTCAGCGCGCTGTAACCCTGTTATGAAGAGCAAATGAAACAGACTGAGTCAACAGCCAATGTAAATATACTTATGAACAAAGATATCCACATTCATTCGACTAACCTTATGAATAAAATAATTGAATTTGCAGTTGAGTATGCCAAAGAAGATATGAAAAGCATGAATGATGAAAATATACCAAGTATCTAGAGACAAGCCCAAACTGAAGTAGATACTTCAGAGTGTTCTGTACTAACAGTCCTGCAACAATGCCCTGCCCCACGTTCAACGTCAGCGGAATGCTGTGCAATAACAACAAAAATGTCTTCTCTTACTACATTACAGACAAGAACACAGTCAATTACGGCTGATTTTTAATCTCAAACTACTCTTCAGCTGGTACAAAGTCTAATGTCCAAGCCGGACCCAGTTCCTCGATCTTGCAGTCCTTATTCTGTGACCTTTCGATCAACCGAAATAAACTAGGATCAGTCCATTAGAGTCCATATTAAGAGGTGATTCATACCATCGTAGTTGGTAAAGATGCTGCACATACTCCTTCCCGCTTGAGTGTCTTCTCATCAACTCCCGATGCCACCACCTGCCATGTACCATCAATCAGAGATTTATATTGCATTACTGTTCGAAGATGATGAGAGTACGTTACGGGTTTTCTAGTATAACATAATGAGCGCTCAAAGGGCATAGTAAGGTCCATTTAACACGATTAAACAGGTTTGGAGTAATCGTACCAGGGGTGGAGCACACGCAAAACAAGCAGTTTCTCCAGGAATCAATAACTGAATGTGACCAGACACTGCATCCTCAGATACACCTGCAAGATTGATGGAAGCAGTTACATGTTATATTCTCATTAGTTCACGAAGATCTTGCGTGTGCTTTTCCAACTAAATCCAAATGGAAACGTACTGGCATTCATATGTGAACTAGATTCAGCTAACGCTCAAGCATAAGACATCACATTGTCCATAGATGCCATCATATGAAATTGAACTTACACACAGTTTAACAACAAAGTTATCCACGTACACTACAATAGTGTCGACTTGAAACAAAGCACATCAATATGCATGTACCTGATTCCATCCAAGTTTGGCGTAGTTCATTGCAAGCCTGCATGACAACAACACAAGAGCATGAAATATTTGGAACTCAAAACTTGGTTCTGTATATTCTGAGGAATTAAGGAATCAAATCTATCAGGGCATGTCATTGTCACCGAAACGTTCCAAGCCCGATTTAATATGGAACCAATGCCTCCATATGAGGGTTGCCAATTAGAACGAACTCATCGACAGCACAACCCACTCATTAGCAAGCTACAAAATATGAGTTTGATTCCAATAAAGATTGAGAATCACAAGATATAATGTACCTGATTAACAACCATACGGGCTTCGTAGTTATCGACACAGCTAAGTACTAGATCGACTCCGCTTTTACCTCCAGTGCTGTTTCCTTTCATATCTCGAGTCAAGCTGTCGGTAAATTTTTTGAAACCATCCACGGTAGTTATATTCTGTGTGTAACTCTGCGCAGAAGATCATACCCCATAAAACATCAGAATATTTGCTAAAGATCTTGTGGCACTAATATAACACACACTAAAACGTTGATAGGTGATGTGCTGAGGTAATGGTAAGCCATACCTCCCAACAAAAATAATTACAGCTAATTAGCCCTTGTAGCTCACTTTTCTAAGTGGCACTGTAGTAGGACAGGGTTCCATTTCGATAACCAAATAAAAGATGGAAACTTTCACAGACACGGTGATGCCCACCTCAAGAATGACGTCAGGGTTGATTTCTGCTAGGGTTTGTACAGCTGCATCTGTCTTAGTCATGCCAGCCTGTAGACGCACGAACCATATTGAGCAAGTCAATTACATCATAAACAGTTAACAAAGACAACATTGGTTTAAAACTCTTATCTACTCTGATCCTTTCGTAAAATTGTTGATCCCAATAATCTCGTAAACAAGACTAAATTAAATAACTCGAAAGGCGAAATTGCAGTACATGCCTGATCGGGCTTGAAGAAAAGTCGGTTCATGTTAGCCAACTCAACAGTGTCGTAGTCGTAAAGCAGCAACCTACCAATGCCGCATCGTGTGAGCATCTCTGCTGCAACACTACCCACGCCTCCAATACCCTACCACAACCACCGGTATTTATCAAGCCTACAGGTTCACAGTGCTATTTTTACATTGGATTTGCATGGTTAACTTCCACTAAGAAAACTTAGTTGTTCCTGAAGAGGGTTATTGAGGGAGTAATGTGAATACTTATCTCTTGCAAGATCTTATGACTATTTCACTGCAACAACATTCACAACTGACTCTTGTTAATGCAACGTGCATACGCAGAATTAGAAAGTGGTATGAGGGATCACCACAATTGCAACAGAAAACTTGCGAATCTCTTCATAATTGTTCACAATGCCCATACGCTTCAGAGCCATGAGACGGCTGTAAGGGTTGCTATCCACAACCTCTCCACTCATTTCCTGTAATATTTTGATCACTTCCAACATGAGACTCACAGCAGCATTTCGTGCAGGCAAAAACAAAAAAAAAATGTAGAGTCGATTGTGCCAAGATGAAGCTAGGATGCAGAGAAGCTTGAACTAGAGCTTCAAATGCGGCGGAAAGCAGAAACTATATATCAGAAACAACACTCAGCTGCACCGATTATGTAAAAGTCTATTAAAAAAATGCTCCAATTTTAACATCGACGATCTATATACAATCCATCGAAAGATAACAACGACATCATGCTTTTCCCAAAATTTGACTGGTCGTGATAGCGAAACTGCATAGGATGTTGGTGAATACCTTGATTTTAGGGCGTACATTGGATCCCGTGTGTGAATTTGTCAAAGCTGCAATCCTCTCAGCATGATCCTTCAGCTGCACGGCGGATCACCCAGGAAAAGTCCAAGAGATCAAACCCCGAAAACAAAAACCAAAAGAAACACTGTCATAGAAAACCATGCGTCTCCCCGTAAGCTCATCGCAATTTCGATTTAACGAAATCCACAAAAAGCAAGCTGCAGCTGGAGATAGCGCAAACTAGAACTAAGTGGGTCATGATTTTCTAGAGAACGACAGATATCTTATCAATGCCAAAAGCCCTAATCAGCACCCACAAGCCAGAAACGGCATGATATCAACAACCAAAGACGAATCATACAAAAACTCACCTTTTTGAACTGTGAAGAGTGCACAGGATCCGCGACGGACGGCTGCAACTTGTTAACGAGGTCCAAGAGTGCCTTTACCTCGTCCTCCATGGTGGTCCGAACGCACAAAACCTGCGACGAAACACAAAATGGAAGCTATGGCAATGAAATGGAGAAGTCAATTACGAGCTCGAAGAAGGAGCAATAGACATTTGCGAACAGGTCTACGTATTCGTAGACGAGTAAAACTCTGTTCACGCATTCACATAACATACGATCTTCGTGAATCGTGGCTTGAACTACTTTTCGCTGACGTCAAACCCCACAAGATGCGGTGATTTCACCCATTTTCAACAAACTTGGTTTTTCTCTTCAATGAAAGGCGATTGTGGTGTATTTGGTTTCCGAATAGCTTTGAATTTTGCCCATCTACTCTGCACCCTTCATTCAAGTGGCCAACACGCATGTCGCATTATTCCTACACTTCTGTGATCAGGGTATGATTTTGATAGCAACGAATTTAACATTCTCTGTGTCAAGTGGTAAATATACCTTCCGTGTTTTCGTTTTTAGAGGTGTAGAAGGAGAAAATTTCGTGGTAAATTCGTAGGGCTGGTGTACTTTGATGCATTAAAACCTCCGTTTATCACAACCCACATTTACTTTTTTATGGATTTTCCTTAATGTTTTTAATCGATGGAAGGTATTAAATTTTGGGCATGGTTAGCAGAATTGTAACAGGTTGGGTATGCAATCCATTGTCATGGAGCAATACCAACTTAGTAAAATATGACGATTCCATCGCCTTCTTCCGATTCTCACAAGTCAGTGTTGAGAAGATGCATTCTCTTCATTAAAGATCAATGGTATGCATCTGCATAAACCATGCTCTGTCTCCAAGATTTCATGTCTAAGGAAAGAGAGACGGTGCTAATCGAATTTCTGCACATGATGGATTGTTGGAAAGATTGTATTTATCAATAAAGGGTGTTTCACTTCTTGCGCTGGTTATATTATTAACAATCCTCACTATTCACCAATGCTTTGTCCTGCTATATTGCAGAGCATACACAGTTTCACAATGTGGGTTAGCAACAAGTTATTGAACTCTAGTCCTACTTCTTTTTACCGCCATTATCATTCCTCCACATTAGAGTCTTCGTTCATTAAAACTGCTGCCTTTCAACGGCAAAAACTGGATATATTCACACGTCAACCACTCTTGTCCTTCTTCAAAGACTCTCCAATGGCTTTCAAGGCATCTGCAATGCTCAGCATGGCAGCAATGTACCCTTGACCTAGGGCTGCGCTTTGTTGAAGCCGTTCCTTCTCAATGATTAACTTGTCCTGGTGTATCCTTGCTTTGAGCTCCAACGTCTCGCGGTGTTTCTTTGCATTCATCTCTAACAGCAACTTGTGGCGAGCGTCTTCACGGTCTTGTACCACGAACATGGAGTTAACGTTTAAGCTTTCTTTTTGGTTGTTCGCAATGGTTGAGAATGCACCTTCGGAAGCTTTAGTGGAGAGCCGACGCCGCTTGGTCAAATGAGGGCTGTTTGAGTCACCTATACCATCTTCTTGTACAGGTCGGTGTTCTTCTGAAGCCGGGGCATCATTTGTAAGATTTCCTAGATACATGTGGGAGAGGATTTATTAGACCACCAGCAGCAGCAATATTTTCTTTATTTGTTCCCACACATAGCACAGCTATAATCTACATCGCCAATAAGGTCGATGAATCTGGTGATCTATCAACACAATGTAGAATGCGGAAGTAGCCATGTATTAGAGTAGTTGGGAGTTCTGACATGACTTTAGAAATGAGAACCAGATGAGTTAACTCAAAGTCTCAGGATCAGATACTGACAGCCAACAGATAATCAAGAGACGAGAAGGAATACAAACCAATACAAGAGTAAAAGAGGACTAAAATTAAGTCAGCCACCTCTGGATACTGCTGCAACATCATCGGAAATGTTGTCTGGAAGCTCTCCGAGGCTTGAGACTTGGGAGCTTCTAGGGTACCATTCGCACAGTGCGTTGTACACGGCCTCGTCAAGCTGAGCTTTGGGAAATCTTAGCATGCGCTCTTTCCTCTCTGCTGAATTCATTTGGAAGTAACCTGGCTCGCCCAAAGGAACATGGTTCCGCTGGTGGTCATAGACTTTTCTGAAATCAGAAGCCAGCTGCTCCCACTTCTCTTGGCACTGGGACTTGGACCTCATAATGTTCCGCTTGAACATCTCGTCCTCCACCTCACTCCACCGTTCTGCTGCAGAGGCTCTCACGTTTCTTCGGTTAGCCTGGCCCGGATACTTCACGAAATGGTCGCGCCTCAAATGTACTAAAATAAGGGTCTCAGCTGGTGTCCATTTTCCAGTCTTGTAAGTACGCTCAGTCACTGGGTCCTGTTGGAGACCATACTCCCAGCAGTCTTCATTAATTCCTTGGGACTCAAATATATGTGACCAGAAATGAAAAGAATCAGTCATTCTGTACATTCCCACTGATCAAATCCCGACACAATGTCATGCAATTGTAATTTCAAAACACTTCTGAATGCTGTTTACTGATTCACAAGAAGGATAATTCTCAGAGATGTACCTTGGAAATGGAACGAGCATCCACATTTCTGTCGGATTGTGGTGTAACGCCCTTCTCTGCTCCGTCGACGTCCATGGCGCTACGACATGAGGAGGCTGGTTGGGTCCCTGCCTTGAAAGAAACATGCTCAACATGATTCCATGGCGGACGAGAATAGGACATTGTACGGTGTCCTACAAGGGGTGCGATCCGCTCAGCCTGATCCCAAGGGAGACGGGAAGTGAGGCCGGGTGACTGGGTTGATGGAGGGGGCTCCCCGCAATTGCCCCCAAAGCAAACGTCAGGGGCTGATTGTGATCCCGCTAACGATGCAATATTCTGGTTGCCATGACTTTTAGTGGGGAGAGAGCTAGGGATTGTCTGTGCAGCTTGCGAGGCTGGAATGTGCTCCTCTACTGGTCCAGCACTCGAGATCGGATTAGCTCCTCTTACGCAAGACCCGTCCTCAAACTTTTCACCTTTCAAGCGATTGCTGGAAATAGGCTGGCCTCTGCCGCCCTCAAAAGGCTCTCCTATTCTGCGATTGCCAGGGCTTGGACGAGCCCTCACTACGCTCTCCCTTTGTCCCCCGGATGCCTGGCCATTGGGTACAAACTGAAATCCAGCCAATGCGGTGATGTGATCAACTTGTTCTCTCAGCTGTTTCAAAATTTGCCGACCACAATTCGCATGAGTACTATTGATAACCTTGCAAACCACGTACAAGAAATTCCCAAACCAGAAGGCAATCATATGAAATTAAGGAACGATCAAACGACGAAAAGTTCATAATCGTTATGCAGGCAGGAAAATCTAACTCGATGAACCCAGATATTGAAGCTCTGGAAAGGAAAGTACCACATGCTTGACATTAACCAAGTCAAATCCCTAGTTATCCTCCATAGTATCATCGGAGGCATCGACACTTAGACGCCGAGACATACAGCTTACTCGCAATGAAGCGCACATGACATCAAGTCCCACAAAGTTCCTGTAGTATTCTGCTAACCTAGTGTTCCAAGCCAAAAGAAAGGAGCCCTAGCCTGCAAGATTTCAAGATGATGAGGTACCGCCTTCTTTGAAAAGTCAAATTCATGTTTCTTGAAGTCACCATGGGGTATCCGTGCGACTTGATCCTCAAATCGCATCTACTTGAGATTTCTAACACTGTACCGAATCTTGGCATGACAAAACGAATTCCGAAAATTAAATCCAAAAGCACAATTCAACCTCTTTCAAAAACCCACATGCCAAGACCATCAGCTCAAGCTTCAACAAAAGAGATATAAGCGGCAACTTGGAGCAATACTCATCCTGAAGCATAGACTTGTGACCGTCCGAAGAATCGCCCTTGAGATAGCGCACCAGCTTCAATTCGGAAAAATGAGTTGGGTCGGCGAGAAGAGGCTGCAGCTTGGTGACTGCTTCCAGAAGCGCCTTAAGCTCATCTCCCATAGCGGTAATCGCAGAAGAAAGCGAGAGGATCAGCAGCATAAGCGCGCATTGAATTGGGGATTTTGGTGATCAGCAGTGTCAGGGAGGCCGATCACAACCCTTCCGGCATGGAGCATATGGTCGCAGGCGAAAAATACTACGTATGTATGCTGCATATCATGAGCTTCTATTATACGCTGCAATTGACCAACTCGCTGCATCGGGCACCATCAACGAGGGTTGAGCAGGCATTAGATTGGAAAGAAGCCAGAAATTTTCATGGTTTTGGATAAGGATATCGTACCAACATTGAAATCCTAGCTTGGAAAATTATAGTTTTACTCACCGAGGATTCGTCAAAGTCGTCAATCGATTTGCTCAACCTGATATCCAGCACAGACAATATATGTATCGGACGAAGATAGATGAAAATCTGGACGTATGTCTATGATATATCTTCATTTTATTTTCAATAGATTTTTCAATAATTTTTAAAACTATTGTTGCTTTTCTCGGGGTACCGACGTGAGAGGGTGTCTTGTCCGCACCAGCAAGCTAGAAATTGCATCATGCCTTGTATTTTTGTTGTTGGCGCCTTGCATTGTAGAGAAAATTACTAACCGAGCTTGGTCCAGACTGATGAGAGCTCCTCGTGCCAGCAGCCTGACTTTTCTTCGCTAAAGCATGTCGGATACCGCTTTGACAGGACACCCAGTACCCTCGTCTTTGAGAGTATCTTGTCGACGAACTTCCCATGTGGATTGGATGTCCTGTCTCACCCGTCAGATTCAAGGAGTTTGAGAGAGGCTGAAAAGTAGCAGAGAGTAAGTAGGATTTTTACAGAGCTGGCCGAAAGTTAGTCCAGGGAAGCAAAGAGTCAGGGTGGAAGGCAGTTTGAAGGCACTGAACTGAAATTGATATCCATGCGGTAAATCGACATATATTCACTACATTTCTTCTAAGAACTATTGTCTGCTAAAATACAGCAAGTCAGACGGTCATGTTTCGTGGACAATTCTTCATAATTCCACAAACGTTGCTGGAAATAGCACATGTGTGTGGGGAAGAGGATAGACAGAGGTGGGTTGATCCACTAACTCTCTCTAACGATCTCATATTGAATTGTCAATTCAGATGTAGCTCATCTCCTTCGTGATTCTACATATCGCAGGTTCTACAATCCATGAGCAGAGTTTCCATACTGTAAAAGCCTCCACCCAAGCCCCCGTTTAGCGGTTCTCCAAAATTTCCACTTTTCAATGGACACCGACTAGAATCTCTCTTATGTCCTTTGAATGGTTATTTATGGTAGGATGCGAAGAAAATTGAGAAAGCAGAAAAGTTCTTTTGACCCAACTCTTGATTTGTACGTGTCAACTTTTTCAGAGGCCATGCTAATCTTATTTGTGTCGTTCCAATTATGTCCAGAGTCGCCGACAAGTCAAAATTGCATGAGTACTACATCCTGATAAACGCTGTCATCTGACATGTCCCAACCCTTGAATAACTGCTCTAGTGCCTCACCAAATTCTAGTGCTCGGACTAATTTGCAGTAGAAATGGTGATGTTTAGCTTTTAATTACACTATGCCTGCAATTAGCACCTCAAGCTCTTCCAAAATTAAGTGGTGCACCCTTGTGGCATCTCTGGGCAGCAGAATTCATGAAGATTTTAGATCACTGTGTACATACCACGTTGGATGTGCTGTGGACTTGGAGATGGTTCATTTTTTCATTCGCTTCTCAACCCCCAGAGTTAAACCAAAATTTAATCTAGAATTTGGTTGGTAAATGAAGGATTACTCGCTATTGAGACTCCTTCCTTGACCCCATTGAGAGCTTCGGAGCAAGCATCCAGAACAGGTGGTTTTATAGCCTGCAAAAAACAAGTCTCATACTTGTTGCAATATTCAATTCGTGATGCAAAAGTGGAGATGCTTGTCAATCAATCTTGAAAGTGGAGATGCTTGTCAATCAATACTTACGCTTAACTTAGTACAGTGACGGCAACGAGCGGAAGCGTTAGTGTCAAGGTTAATCGTCAAGACGTCACAGTAAAGAAACTCACATTCAGCTTAGAAACCAGCGACTACGAAACTCTTGTCCTCCATCAGGGGTTTCAAAAGCTCCGAAATAACAGCCCTAGTACATCGCATTGCACATTCGAGCAAGATTAGAGGAAGCCTTGACTCAATGTAACGGTTTCCCTGCACTTCAGTTGTTCAGACCCTACACCTTCCATACCTCTACACTCACATGGAACATACGCGCAGGTCAATGCACCATCTAGAATACAATCTTGCAAAACTTGGATGTCAAGACTTGGAAGTCAACGCCACTGCACAGCAAGTGATGAGAGGGCTATTATGGAATGTAGCTTACTTGTTTTCGGCGCGAATTCTAGCAAGAGTCCCTGTCACAATTTCGTTCACTTCCATGAGCCTGCACCTCATGATTAAAGACTTGTGGGTGATGCAGTAACACACACACAAAAAAAAAAAAAAAGTTCTTCAGAGGGACCGACGTTGGAATAGTTGTAAATTTCAATTCGAAATGCTCTCTCAATTTAAAACACGGTGACAAAAATTTGGAGGGCTGTGCATACTTCTTCATCTTGTACAAGGCGCTCTGAGGATCACTTTCTTCTTTGTTCCTTAGGGCTACTTTATGGTTTCTAATTTCAGGCTTCTTCTCAGGAGTGAACACAAACACTGGCTGTCTCAACAAACCAACCGCCATGTTCTTGGCGTATTGCCATGAGGTATCATTCTCTTTGTGAGGATTCACATCGTCTTTCGACATAGTTCGCTTGAAAGATTCAGAAAGTGCGGATAGTCCCGACGAGGATGTCCCTCCCTCCACATCTTGTTCACAGGCTGTCAGTTTTAGTTTTAGGTGTTCTATGGCGGGGAGGAGATCTGCTTCTGTGACACCAATCAGGTCGACGGTGGGCGGCTCTTCGCGCGAACACTTAGATTGTGGTTTCTCAGCCAGCTCTTCAAGAGCAACGCTTTCCATCCACTGCCAAAACAAATATTCGTGATGCTCGCACGCTTCCTTCTCATCTGCAATTGCTTTAGCGGCTGCGATCGCCTGGCAATGAATGTCCAGCTTTTCTCTGTGCTGCAACAGATGCAATTGGTAAGGAGTATGGAGTACTTTCACCCCGGCCGCCAGTTGCGCAAGCTGTAGCTCGTGCAGTTTGTTCACCTTGGTCACCTGAAGTGCTTCAATTGCGTTCAAGCCCACCTGCACCTATGACAACCAATACTCATGTCAACACAATGCCTGCCCTCGTCAATGATGAACGAATCCTTTACTCTCTACCTCTTTCCTCTCCGATGGTCAATAGCTATGATAAACATAAACCCTATCATTACTTTTCACCTGCCCGTGCAACATTAGGACTTGGTCTGTTCGCATCTCCGTGCGCAGGACCTCATCATCCACTCGCTCAGTCGCAGCAAGCATCCGCCGCACATAGTCAACCGAGGCGCACTCCGCCTTCCTAGCCCTGCATAAGCCTTCAGGGCTGCAGGCCATGTCAAGTGGGTAATCGTGAGGCAGAGTTGCCATGCTTCGATCAGCTTGAAGGGGCTGCAGTCGGCGCTTCAATCCCCTCTCAATCAAATTACACTCCGAGATTAACCAGCCCAGGGCGAGCAAGAAATGCCTACTATTACTGGTGTCAGCGTGCAGCAAGAAAAACGGTGAGTGCGGGGAATAACCCCAGAGCGCCAAATGAAATTTCACAACTGCTAAGTTGTTGTCACCATCGTATTCATCCTCACAAACGATCCTCGATATCGATGATGCTACTTCTTTCAACCGCAGTTCTTTCTGTGACTTCGCAGTGGTCGATGCATTCGAGCACCTAAGGATTATGGAACTCGATTGCGACCGAGCTATTTTCTTTGCAACATCCTTCTCGGCAGGGAAACCTGCAATGCGTAGAGTGATAATGTCGTGCAACGCGCGCAGCAAGTATCCGGGCGACTCCAATTTGTTGAACTTTGCCAACCTCAGATTCTCGGGAGCGATGCCCCTCACTCCCAAATCTGTAATCAATTCGGAAACATATCTCATGCTCTTTTTGACCGAAACTTTCCGCTCATTCTGTACCTTGCTCTCCATGTTCGCGAGGACAGTGTTCTTTCCCCTGCTAATTTCACAAGCATGGATTTCAAGATTGAAAATAGACGAACGTGTTGCAGCCCAGAATTCATGCTCAATACGTGGCATAAAAGTGAAGATTCACGATTTTCCATCTTGGCAGTTGTGATCCGGTTGGATTTTCTTGTCGAGTGAATCATTTCACTTCCATATCCGACGAAGAGACATGCAATTTCTTCATCGTTGAGAAGACGGGGCGGAGCTCCTAAGTTCATTCTGAGACTATCTCATCCATGAGTACTCGGGCCGTAGGGAGAAAATCCTCAACAAACGAGCTCTAGTGTTCAACGATCCTCAAACATGATACAGCTGACGTGATGACAACATAGTCTGCGGGGAAGTTTTGGACTCTGCAATAGCGTTCTACAAGACTGCCCCCTTTTACATGCAATCCTTCTTTTCCACTGCTTTTCCAGGGCTACTCTTTCACTGCTGCAATCTCACACCCCCGAGACGAAGCGCCCATATTCTGCATTGTCAGTGAGCAGAGGATCTGATGGTGTGTGCGCTTCTCGTGAAAACTCCATCGAATGCAGGATTTACTTGTCCGACTGACGAGTTTTGATTTCTGACTATTTAGGTAGCAATCGAAAGGAGGGGGTTAAGTTAGGTTAATCCAGACAACTTACAATATTCTCAGTTCAACTGGAATGGTGATCACCGTAAGTTGCGAAGTTCCTTACATTGATTGCGACGATACTATACACACTAGAGCCATGACATCACCGCCAGCAGCACTAACTCGAGAACCGCTTTCCAGGCTTTGCTTCCGCCAGTCGCCTCAAATGTCGCTCTCATTCGCTCGAGGATTAGATTCGTATCTGTTTAATTTATCCATTGTAAGATGCGCTTCACGGGGAAGGTGCGCCTACGAGTGTGAAAGCGTCTTATCTTGGGTTCCTTCGACTAATATGACGTTCAGAAGCTGGCGACTGTGCTGTAAATGTGATGTAATCCTGTCTCACGTGCATTCAAATTGTGCATTGAGTTTAGTAGATTCAATTCGGCTCCAGTAACCGTTCGACGAAATAGGGTCTCTTGTGTTTTGAACGCATAACATGCAAGAGAACCCGTCAATTGGGTTCGTAAAGTCTCTGCTTCGTCTGATGAGTAAATGTACGTGATTATTGTAAGTTAATGCAACCATGTCCAGCCCAGGAAGAAAAATCTCGCAGGCGTTCCTACAAGATCTAATACTGCACCTATTCGAATGTTTAAGTAATTATGGTTCCAAAAGGGGCAATGCGACAGCATGGAGCCGCCCCAGTGACCTCCACCACCTTCGCAACGCCAGGTATCTGTCGCCCTGACTCTTCCATTCTTTCCATCTCCACTTTTCCAGGTCAAAGTGATTCTCCTTGAAATTTTCGGAACTGTCGCCATTCTCGTCACCTTTGGGAGACAGAGTTGCAGTCATCATGGGCTTCTCGTATAGTTCTTTTCTGTGACCATGATGGGAGGAACTGTCACAATGGAGTGCCCGCATTAATGCTGTGTATTCGGTACATAGTTGTTGGGTTGAGTTCGCTATCGAACCTTGAGATGTTCCATTCAGAAAGGCCAGGATTCTTAGGCATGTGCGTGGTGATCCGAGTGCTTCAGAATCCCGTGAATTCATTGTTTCAGCGTTGTTAAGAACAATGCTTCAAGAGCTTGATTCCCCTCGGGACTGACAAATCTTTTCGCAATTCTGTAGCATTCATAACATTCCCTAGTCTTATTCTTCGTCAACTAGGGGATAGCATAAGCTTCCATCCCAACATGGATACCTCGTCTGGCAATGGCAATGGCCCTGAGAAGCAAGAGACTACCCCCCAGGTCCCAACACTGCAGAGCTTGGAAGAGCCGCGACGACTCGCTAAACCTGCTAAACCCTCAACCGGCTTGACAGACACTCTAGTGTGGTGGGATATCGAGAATTGCCCTCATCATTCTGCACCTTCACCATCCACCGGCGAGGTAGTCAAAACCAATTGCTTGATACGAGAGCTCCAGAGCCACCAAAATTGCGACCAAATTCGTGTCACAATCAACATTTACGGAAACGACGGACCAGACTTGAAGTCCGGGCTGGGCTCCCTCGTTGCCAGCGGCATCACCTTGCAGCACCGCATCTTGCCCTGCAAACTCCCAAGATCAGAGACAGCAGCTCTGAAGACAATGATGGTGGACATCGCCTTGTGGGCACTCAGCAATCCCGCCTCCTCCAATATCTTCCTCATCTTCGCTGCCCGAGACACTTTCTTCCGAGACCTCGTCACCGGATTGCACATCAGAGAATACAATATCCATCTCGCTACCAAGTTCTTCTGGAGTACAACTGCCAACACAATCTTCGAGTTAAATGGGTTCAATCCCATCCCCTGCCATTGGAGTGCGTCCCGGGAGCACCTCTTCGTGGTCCGAACTGCCCCATCTCGCCGATCCCATTCCTTCAGAGGCTTTTCCTCTGAACAAGCCCAGGAATCTTCATGTCAGCTGAACAACAGAAAAAAAGATGGGTTGGATATGCGGCTTCACAGCTTCTTCTTCTCCTTCTTCTACATCTTCTGCTTCGTGATGGTTTAGAGTTAAGATTCCAGTGACTCGCAGCTTGCTTGCATTTCCTACCTTGGCAAAAGATTTTCAACATCTTAGACTGAAAACTCTGAAACACCTAGACTCTGAAAACTCTGTGAAAGCTGTGCTTTTTCGACCTCATGCTGAATCGGGTCGCATTTTGGTGGGTATCCTCGTGTAGCCTGTTTGTACCGGAACAACTTGTCGTGGTTATGCTGTTGATCAGATGAAGGGAATGATTATTTACCTGGTAGTTTGTTGCTCAGCGTTTGTGCTTGCTCACAATTTTGCCAGCGAAGGAATCAAATGTGGACGGAGTTTCCGATGCAACGCAGCTTTGAATTCAGTATTTTACCCATGTGAGGATTTAGTTTTGAAGTGGTGATAAGGGTAAAACCATGATCAGATGTGGTTGAATTGATGCATTGCTACAAGGTTTGTTTCTTTCTGGATGTGTCGATTATGTTTGATTTGCAAGGTCATGTTTGAATTGAGAGAATAGTTGTTGTGTGATATTAAAGAGATGTATATAAGAGCAAACATAATATGAACTTTTTGTGAATTCTTTTTCATCTTTTCAGCGTGAAATTTCACTTGGTATTATGTGTCTAACAATAACTCAAGCATTTGTTGGTTTTGTAATAAAGTGTTTGTTGGTTTATTTCTCAAACCTTTGCAAAATCCTTCAAATTCAATTTCAAAACCTGCACCTTCTACGATATAAATTTCCAGTAACATTATCAAATGTTCAATATTGGACCTGATTGTGGTAGTTAAATACTTTGCACTAAGAATGATTGTTAGTTAGTCTCACATAAGCTTAAACTTTATTCTGAAAATGTCGAAATCTTTCATTAAAAATAAAAAAATGTCTTTAACCATTCTATATATATGAATATAAGTATTTACAAGATTAATATTAAAATATATATATATATATATATATATATATACCAGAAGTTGACTTATATTTTGATTGTTCATAATATAAATGCTGTATGGAAGTTAGATTTATGCATACCTATTAAATTTTAGTAAGAATTGGTGTTTCTTTTATTAATATTTGAAGCTTTATATTTTGGTCAATTAGTTTGTTTTAGAAGATAAGTTATTATTAAAAAATTATTTTTCACATTAAGACTCTATGATAAACCAAAAAAAATTAGAAAGTTGCTGATGAGATACAAATTGTAATAAATAAAAACTTTGAGGAAAGATACAAGAACAAAAGAAGTAACCTTAATATGAAAAATATGGTTAGTGTGTCAAAAGAATTTCCAATTGAAAATTCCAAAACACACATATTTAAAGAAAAGAAAAGGAAAGATGTCATATGTCATGCATGTAGACTTATTACTTTTAAACAATTTTGTGTTGATTATTTACATGTAATTAGGCAAAAATATTTTGAGATTTTCTTTTTCTTTTTCTATAAACATGTTTTACATCTTTAAGAAGCACTAGAATTGTGACTAAGTTTCTCATAGCAACAAACTATCTTTATTATTTATACTTAAAGATCTTTTACATCATTTAAATAATGATTAAAAGAATTTAAAGATGAATAATTTGAATCTAAATAAATCAAATTATTCTCAATAAAATTATGTGGTAAAAATCTAGTGCTTAAAAGATGTAGAAAATTATATTGGATTATAATACAAAGTATAATTTATATTGAATTTTTTTTCTTCATAAATTGATCAATCTTTCACAAAGATAAATCTTTTCAAGAAGAATCTAAGCAGAAAGCGGAGCTTGTCGGTTACTCTGATGTATTAGAGTCCTCGTGACGAAGCTTTTTCTCCAAGGCAAACATGTGTGATGTATGTGAATCCTGGTCACCTATTTCCACAGTATAGTTCTCTGAGGAGTCGATACTAGTAGGCCCTGCAGGGTAAAGGGTTGGTGGATACGTCGTTTAAAGCATTGCCCACTTTGCATTAAAAACCACGAGCACACAAAATTGCATTAACGACGAGATCCTCAAGCTCGTTTACATCACGATCAGAAATTTATTATTGGCATGGTGCAAAGTATGTACAATTGTTTTGTATGGTTCTGTTCACAGTTAACCCAAGTCTACACTTGAAAGTTACCACGAGCTGCACATGACACAAGAAGGCGGACTGTTGGGTTGCTAGTATCCTTGATAAGTATTGAAAAGATGGGTATCATTCTAACTGCACACAAACTCTTTCCACCGGATCTACGAAATCCTTCTCTAATACTTTGAAATCAGAATCATTCTTAGTAGTATGAGACTGATACTCGGGTATAGCCTTCATGTCTTCCCACTGGATTCGGCGAGCCATATACAACAATGCCTTACAGCAGAAAAGTACAGAAGGGATCAGGCCTGAGATTTAATGCTCCTCAATGAGATTGACGCCCAGTAATGTACCATGAGCAGCAAGTCCTTTGGACCGACAGAGATACTTACACCACCCGGTTTTGATATTACCTCAATCAAGCCATTTGGCACTATCTGGAACTAGCTTTAGGCTTGTGAGGGCATCCAGAAGCTGTGACCATCTTTTCTCCACAGAACCTGTAAACCCAATGGACATCCGTACAAGTCCTGCTGAAATGCCTGCGGAATTCTGCTCCTCTTTGCTGAGCTCGCTGCTGGTACTCGAACCCGAGCACGACATTAATGTATCATGGTATCCAAGACTAACTGCCATCAATCCAAACAAAGACACATTCTGCAAATGTCGCAATAGGTCGTTCGCTATTTCTGTGCTTTCCAAATCCAGGCAAAGCATTCCACCGAATCCATAGCCTTCGTTCAGCAACTTCTTCATCAAGTTGTGTTGAGGATGCTCCTCCAGACCTGGATATATGACCTTCATGCCAAGCTTTTTCAGCCTCCTGGAATATATTAGTGCCCGATCACAATGTTCCTTCATGCGCAATTCCAAATGCGGAAGACGCATGGCAAGTTGGAATGCAATTTGAGGATTCATTGTTGGACCTTGAAGCATAAGGGCACCTTGAGTCAAACCCATCATGGAGGAGATAAGGTCAGCGGGACCACAAACTGCACCTGCAATGATGTCGCTGGAACCGCTGATAAATTTCGTCAAGCTGTGCACAACTACATCCGCGCCATAACGGATCGGAGACATAATAATCGGTGCAAATGTGTTGTCCACCACGACCTTAACACCCTTCTCGTGAGCTACGCCTGTGGGGAGAATGACATCGAAGACGTTAAGCGAAAAACAAATTACTAAAATTCAGAAAATAAGAGTTGGCCTTGAGTAGAAATCAGCCCACTAACATTGCAGACAGTATATTGAAAAGTATGGAACACATTACAGATGAAAATGAACAGATTGAGCCATATCATACCCGCCAGAACTGGGATGTTGGCGACAACCAACTGCGGATTTGACACAGATTCAAAGTACAACACCTTGGTGGAAGGCCTGATAGCTTCCTTGACAGCACTCACATCAGCAACATCGACGAAAGTGGTTGTGATATTGTTTTTCCGTGGGAAAAAATGGGCCAAGAGGGCATGTGTGCCACCGTATAAGCGATTTGAGGCAACAATATGGTCGCCAGAGTTGCATAATTGCGTTAGCACCGAGGATATAGCTGACATCCCACTGGCTGTACAATAGGCGGCCTGCGTCCCTTCCATTGCTGCCATCTGCCTTGACAAGTTGAGCACCGTTGGGTTGTAATGCCTACATTATAAATTCCATTTATCTTAGCAAGGTGTAACACTAAAGGTAGACGATTAGAACCCACACGTATCAAATGCCAGAGAAAAAAATGTTCAAACGAGAGGCAGACTGAATACCTCAACCAGAAACCAAAACTATATATATATATATATATATATATATATAACAATAAACGCAACAGATGATTAAGTCCTCCGTTCTTAGCTACGATTGTCATTTAAAATTCGGCAATGACAGATTATACCTACTGACTCAACGCGTCTTGGATAAACTAATAACTGAAGCACATTCATAAACACACCTGCTGTAAATGTAGAAATCTCGATCCGGACCAAGCTTCCCTTCAAACAACTTGCTCATTGTCTCCGGTTCCATCACTGTGAAAGTGGTTGAGGCCTCGATGGACATGTTGACGCCACCATGTTCCCCGAACTCGCGTCTCATGTTTGCCAACCCTTGCACGGGATCCATCCATTTCCTCAGCACCTCGCAATCTAATTTCATGTCCTCATCGTCCGAATCTTCTCGTGTGCGTTTCTGCCCAACAACCCCATTCACCACTATCCCCGCTTTCGCATCTTTGCTGCTCATATTGGCTACGGATGAAGATCAGCCACGAAGAAAAGTGGTCGCAGAGAGAGGTTGTAACTAAAGTTGTAAATTCTAAACACGCTGTTTCATAACCTCCTTGTTTAAATTGGAAGCTGTGGTAGTCCCTGCACTAAAGAGATGCACAAAGTCTCAGCCACTAGAAAGTAAATAAATACAATTTGAATAAAATCGAATTCAAAACTCTAATAACTATCTCTCCTAAAAAAAATCCAGGTCAATACCTCGGTACGACAGGGATGCCAGAAACAATTCATCAAACATTGGCATGCCAGAAAAGTATGGGAACTCTTCGGCACAGATTTAATGCAGTAAGAGTATCAGAGACAAAGATAACAAACCAAGAAACAGAGGTTGAGGGGGCCAAGCTAAAAAATAGCAGTGAGGGGTTAAACTAGTGGGACTCTCAATTCCAACTCGCTTGGCATGAAGCATAACTTAAACCACTCATGATACTATTCATCCTGGAACGGGGAAAGGATGGAGATTGACGTTGAAGAACTTGTGTTGGGTCAAACATTGCCACTCACAGGGGATAACACAAGATTTCTCTTCAATTCCATTGGGTAAACGACTAATCTCAATAAGTGTGCTGATGGAAGGTAACGCCACGAATGTCCAATTCTCTTTCATTGGAGTACTAATTCGGGTTCTGTCATAAAGAAAAAAAGCAGCAGGAACACGAATACAGTGGTCTGCACTGCACCTTCCTGCATAACAATTATTATATCTACTCATGGACCGATACGGTTGAAATTGGCTCAAACTTCAACACATTATTTTCCCCAGCAACAATCGCAACCAACGACATGACGTGCGCTATTACCGACGCATCCACCCTCAATCTCATTCAGACATCCCTCGGGTCATCTCACCCTTGCGCTCAATGCAACAGCGAGCACCTCCAATTTCCAACCCAAGATTCAAAACTACATGAAACCTACCACCTCGCAACCTATAAAATACCTCAAACTCAGTAGAAGCCGCCGTCTTCAATAACCCGCAACTACACCCATCAGCAACAAACTGAAGCCTCTACCGTTCCAACTCATCACATCACGGCACCTCAACCCAAGTTGAAAACCAAACTCTTCTCCTTTTCTCTTTAAGTTCTGCTCCAACGACCACAAAAAATCCAGAAAAAGAAAAAAGAATAGAGAACTCCCTCCTTGCACTGAAAAGATTCCAAAAACCAAAATTCAAGACTCGGAACTATCAGCCACTCAGCACCACCGCTCTAAACACAAAGTGCAAAGTGCAACCTCTCAGCGCTTACTCGAAGGGTATTCAGCGACAAAAAGGACACAGCAACGGTGTAACCGAGGCTCGATTCCGCCAGGAGGATGACCCCCTCTGCATGCAGCACCAAGAATGGCACAGAAAAGAAAATGCTTCTGCGTGATAAAAAGCGCGAGAGACTGCTCACAATACCTCCTCACATTCTCCGGCTCGACGACATTCTATATGTAAGGCGGCCGACTGCCGATCACTGACTGTGGACGATCTGCGAGCGTGGCCGCAAGCACACAATAAATCTCAGCCGCTTAGTATTCTCGCTTCGCCTCCGGGCCATGGCTCCATCACCGTCGTCGTCGTCGTCATCTCCTGCTCGACGAACTACGTCGAGTCTCGACCGCCGGTCGGCGAAGTCTCATCCATCTTGCCACGTTTCGGGCGGAGTCTGCGCGGAGGGGTGCTTTGGCAACTCCTGATTTCCACATCGATCTGACGTGGACTTCCGTTCCGGCCCTGCCCGGTATTCTCCTCATGCCTACGAACTTACCGATTTACTATCCCTACAGTACTCTGTAATTGGTGGGTAATAAAATGACACTGCCGTAAAAAAGTAAAGATCAAGGTATTCATTAGGATTTTACAGGAGTGTAATTTTATTATCCTAGTGAAGGGGGAGGGGTGAAAACAGAAGTACTGATTTCAGCAACACCTGCTGTGTGCTGAGGCAAGCCCATGATGAAGATGACTTGGCCGGGCTGCTGCCACCATACCTTGCCACATCAGCGCAAGGCTTTTCCAGCTCAGCTCCATGAAAGAGGTCACAATCCCTGACTCCTCTTCATTGTTCTTGCATCAGCTCTCCACGTAAGCTCTCCATGTGGCTCCTTCTCATGCAAACCTAGGTCTCTCTCATTGTCAGGGATATGAGATAAAAAGTAAAAGTAAAAATTAAAGCTAAAGGTGGGTGGTGTAAGTAAAGGGCAGGAGGCATGTTCTAAGGCAATTCCATCATGGGCAGTGTGAGAATGAGCACGGGTCTGAATGTGTATTCTATGAGCTGTCATGATTCCTGGAAGGTTCCTACAAGCTTTTGCTCAACATGGGCATGGCTGGAGAGGGAATAGGCCGACAGTTGGGCCAACTGGGTCACCAATCTGGACTGAAAATGTTGTCCTTCTTCACTTGCCCTTTTACGAAGGATACCTGGAATGTTCAATTGCCTCCAAAAGAATCTCCCCCTTTTTTATGGTACAACAAAGAGAGCAAAAAACAGTTGAGTGTCACATGATCAACTCAGCACTGAGCAGAAGAGTACTCGGTTTGTGAAGGATGTAACGGCGGAGAGATGTGAGGAAATCTCGCAGTGAAGGCAATCGCCGATCTCGACGCCACCTCGCAGTGGATATGCTCATGTCACTCTCACCGATCTAATCGTCTTTTATGTTCCTTCAAACAACGTACAACTGCAATAGCTCCATTGACAAGACTTTTACTGCAAGATACTGTCCATCAACAGTCCTTCGGTACTTTGTTGCTGTAAAAATAGAACTTTCCTGTCGTCTTGAGCTTAAATCAAAATTGCAGTGATGTACAGAGTGCTTTTACAGGCGCTGATCTTGTTAGGGTTGATTAGATTCTGGAGGCTTGTTCGAAGAGTGCATCTGATAGCTACAGAGCCACCGGAAGGTGGCAGGATCGCTCACGGACGGTGGCGGTTGCAGTCTAAGAGTAGGTTATGTTGTGGAATCGTGAAGAAGTGCCGTAATGTCATCAGTTTGAGCACTGGAACTGTTTGGATTCGGGAATGTACACGTTCGCGTACTGTACGTGGATCCGATGAGCATCATGCGCGAGAATTGAGGAGTGCGTTGAAGATTGAGATGAATCACAGCGGATGGCCCACTTGATCGGCTGCAACTACATACTAATCGTTGCTTAGGGATCCAGAATCGCCTCACTTGTTGGAATTTTATACTAAGTAACTACTGTAGGAAGACAAACGTATGTAGACACTCTCCAAGCGCCACTTTAAAAAAAAAAAATTAAAAACAGAAATTGAGAATGAAATGATGGTCCGAATTCTTAGAATGCAGTTCGCAACACCTTCTTAGGAATCTCATATAATTCTTCATTTGACCGTCTCGCCCCTGACTCTTGCCAAACCCTCGATGAAGCGTTACAGGAGCTGAGAGCAGTGAACTTGATGTTATGAGGCTCTCCAATGTGATGTCTCGTTGGTTTTGAAGTTGATGTTCTCGACCGAGTGGCGATGGTGAGACATCATCGGCATGGATAACATTTGAATCACGGCATAGTTGATTGATCTGGTGATCTTTAAAGATGAGGAAATTGTGAGAAGAAAGGAGTGATTCATGCTTCTAGAGTAAGTGATGGAGGTCAACGACGTGTCAGGGGCAATAGTTGAGGCAGCCTGGGCTGCTCTTAATACACACCAGCAGGAGACGGAATTAAAGGATCTTCTTGCTGCCGAGATGCTTGACAATGATAAGTTGCGTAAGCGTTTAGGGATTTACAAGAAAGTAATCGAGAATCTGGAACTGACTGAAGCAGCAGCTGCAGAAGCTAACATTGACAATCTCGGCTCCAATTCTGCAAGAATGGCATCATACCAAGAGCAACACACCCCAGATGTACGCGCCCGAGGTCAACAATAACGCGTATATCCGTTTCCTAATCTAATCGATTCATGGAACTCAAAACTCTCGCAATGAGAAGACGATGTATCAGTGTGATTATGTTGGGGCTTTCCATAGCAAGACGCCTTTTCAGTGCCTACTATGAATCACATATTTGTTAGATGTCTGATGGTGCCAGATTTGTGATGAACTGCAAGACAAACTGTCCTCGCCAGGGTTTCTTCATCAATTGATGCACAAAGAGGGTGGCAAACCACTGTACCCCTCGGCAACAACAGTCGGAGGTAAATGGCCGATGCTTGGAGACCTACTCTAAGCCAGCATGCACTTCCACACTGTGTTCAATAATTTCCCGTCAGACTAGCTCTGGGCTAATCGGCGTTTATATGAGACAGAGGAAGAAGGAGCATGGTTGTTTGAATCGGACGACACCATCTCGCCAAAGGAGGAAAGAGATGAACTCGGGACCAACGAAGGCTATGTGATAATAACACAGCAAGATATTGTGGATGGTGTAGCGTGCTTCGTTGCCCGCTCTATTACTTCTCTTCCTCAAAGCAAGGTGCACACTACAGATGCCTCTTCATAGGAACTTAGGTCCTAGACATCTATTCCCTCTCTATCTCAGGATTCAGAACCAAACTGATAAAATGAAAGTGACCAAAACCCTAAAACTAATGCTGGATATTCCATCGTGTTGAATGCAACTGCTTGTGGTTGATACAACTCTGGCAACTGAACATCTTGAACGTGAAGAATATGAACCCTGAAGAACTCCAACAAGGTAATATAATTTCATTTGAATTCTGACTAAAGTTCAACTTTTCTGTTTTTGAAACCCCCACATTGTTAGACTTACTTTCGATAGCATGTTGATTCAACTCACTCACGTAAAGTGCGTGAGAGGCAGCTATTATTTTGGCATTTTCAGAATTGCGGAAGAATGGAAAATTGCGGAGCCTGTGGAATTGTGCGCATTTGCTGTACGCTGCAACATCGTGGGGGTCCACAGCCTTAGTGTAAGAAACCATCATCCTACGTTCAAGAGAGCGTGTGGCATCGAACACTGTAGCCTCAGAACATATTTAGAGAATCACATGGTGTTTCATCTCTTTGCAATGGAAAGCTGACAATCATCACCGTCTGTAGATAGGGTAGGTGGTTTGCTAAGACTAATGAGATTAGATGAAAACATCAGCTTCTGTTAATTGATTGGACTGAAGAATGATCTGCTGAATGCACCAGGCTGTGCAAAAACCCAGTGATCAAGCGAGCAGCGTGGATGGCAGTGTATACCTCGTGTTCTATCATCTTGGGCCTCTTCTCGTGATTTGCAACTACAAGGACTTAGTTGTGATTCGAGCATTCTACAAGGACTTAGTTGTGATTCGAGCATTCTACAAGGACTTAGTTGAGATTGAATGTTGCACATTCAAATAATTCTGGTTGAATACTGGACAAAGATAAACGCAACTACAGTACAATCGTCAAGACCTCGGCCTATTCATCGATTCTGGAAAACCGAGTGAAATGCGGGCTCTACATTGTGGATATCATCACATACGCCGTGAGTACCCCGATCCTTTGCATGTTTTGCAAAGGATTAGGCCTGCCAACACCACAACACACAGTTGCATCAGTTTGCTGAAATGACAAGAACGGTTTTGCAGATTGGTATCCAGCTTTAAAAAAACTTCCATGAGCGTTGTCCACCGCAGAGTTCACGTGGACCTTTTAAAAGCAATCAAAGATTTCCTATTTCTGATGTGTGAGGACTTGTGTAGGAAGAAATACCTGCTCCTTTGCAGACACGGCAATCCGTCAGCCCAGCTTCTGTCTTCATTTTCCCGTCCACGCAGAATACACATTTTGTCCCTCCTGATTCAGAAAACCATGCAAAATTTTAGATACGATGGTTGCTTTCAGAGGCATCAATTGGATTGACATTACCAACGTACGTAGAGGCTCAAATCAGATAGACGTCCATTGAGGATTTACAATGCTGAATTAGTTAGGGCGAACAAAGGCTGTGCTGTACTTGGGAAATACATTACAATTGGCCATTGCTTGTGGACTACTACGCTGTTGCGCGAGCAAAATATACGAGTAAACACGGAGCTCACCATTGCCTCCACATTTCGCACACGTTACAGGTTCACCCTGCATTGAATTCCCGTTCATTCCGCCACACAAATTAAAAAATAAATCTAGTTCAATTCCAAAAGAAACACTCTTCCACTAGCTCAAAAATTCCTTGAACGTAGACTATGAACCAAAGAAGAAGCGAGAGGGAAAACTCCTCCGCATCACTAGTTCAAACTCAAACACCTCGAGTGAGTGGTCAGTACTTCAGCTTCTACTTTTTTGCTCAATTTCGACAATCCATTGCAAGTCGATACTGCGGAATTACCTTGAGTCCATAATAGAGAGAAGCAGACGTAGCAGCTAACACGCTGGCTCCAATGATCAAATTCTGCAAATTTTCGGGATCCATATCCGCCAACACCAGGCGCACCGCAGGCTCAATCAGGCCAGCGCGGCACGCCAATTTCGAACCCCTCATTCGACCCCTCCGTCTCCATCCCCAGCTACTCACAGACTCGCCGAGCCCACTCGCATCATTCCCAGCGACAGCCTTCCATTGCGAGACTTTGTTACACAACAAGAGCGGCACACTTCGAGGACATGCCGATGCCACAACACGCAACCAAGTCTGATAATTCAGGTATGTGTGGAGAGAGGAGGAAGCGACGGAGACGACAGGCGAGGAACGAGACGACGGTCGGCCACAGTGCAGAAGCGGAGGACGCGAAACAGAGAGAGGGTGGCAAGACGCCATAGCTGCGGCCCAGGAGAGCTCAAATTCAACGGATTCGCAATCCGCACAACGATATCCGGAACGTCGGTTGAGGATGTCGCTTGGGACCTTGGTCCCTTTTTCGCCCTCGTGCCACTCCCCCCTTCCCTTCTACCATTCAAAACGTGGACATCGCCACAACACTTGCATCTCCCCGAATAAATCATCAACGTCAATGTCGAGTTATCCCTGGACCCCAATCCCAACGCATAAAAACAAAAACAAAAACCAAGAACATGCCGACAATGGCAATGCTGAGATGGACGCTCAAACCGCAACATCACGCCTCCGCTTACAATGATCGATGCAGAAGAGCTCATCGGTGTGGAATTGCCGTAACAATGTGCTGGCACTTGCTAAGCCGGCATCGATCTCTTATTGGTGCAGGAAATCCTGAGACTGATGCCTGCGACGCAGCTGAAATTCTTCGCGGCGAGAGAGTGCGAAAACTTCGTGCGTGACCTCGTCGGATCCACTTCGAAGAACGGCCACAATTGTGTACCAATTCGAGGGGTGGAATAGACAAAAATGCCGTATCGACTTTTTCCCTTGAATTGTCAATGACTTTTGCTTGATGTTTTGTTAATGTGATTGTTGTTATTGATATTCGAATGCCATTTGACAGTGATCAAAGAGATTTAGGATAGAATACAAGTTTGTTGACATTTCTTCTTATTTACAAGAATATTTTCCTAGAATTCTTTATATCGATATATGAGCATTAAAAGAATTAGTGTTTGTATATGTATGTGTATATGAAAAGGTAATTAATGAATCACAAAAGGATACTATGTTTGCAACAACATTAATACAATTTTTGTTATATGGCAAACAATCACTCTATCAAAAACTTTTTATACAACAATTTTTTAAAGTCCTATACGTAGAAGAAAAAATATTGGCACAAAATTATTTGTCATAGAGACTAAGTTATTAGAAAATTGTATATTTATAATCCACCTCACGCGGAATGATACATTTGCATTTGGTCTTGCTCTACATTCAATGTTTTCATTTGTTTAACATCATAAAACATTTAATCATGTGTTCTATCTTTTATTTCAAGATGCAACCAAATGTCTATGGATATTTGGAAAATGACACAAAGTGGCTTTGTATAATGAATAATGTTATTGACAAATAAATGCCAACCACAATGAAATTATTTGTTTGTTCAAATTTATCTTTTTTGAAAATCTTTCAAATATTAAAAAGTTATGGGATGCAAACATCATCTTTATGTTATGGATATATATATTTATTATAATTGTTATTTAGGTAATATGAATAGATAGAAGTAAGTAAAAATAAATTAATTTTATATTTTCTTCTAAGAAAACTTTTTAAAAGCTTTATAGATGATGTTTTGACTTTACATGTATTTATAATTGATTGATAGGTTAAAAACTTGGTCAATAAGTTAACCACGTGCTACACGTATTGGTAGCTTGTGGAACAAGCTATTTTGTAGACTTCATATAAAAAACTCACCTTACAAATTAAGATACGAGTTTTGCAAAGTTAACATGTTTTGGAGATCCTATTGAACGTCCTCGCATAGCTCTTAAGTAAATAATATTTATAGAAGCAAGAGTGAATCTTTCTTCATTCTTGTCAATTCTTTTCTTGCTTCTAGTCTAATTTCAAGAAGTTTCTAGTTTTCTTCTCTTTTAACTATAGCCATTTCAGTTTCTTTTTAATATTCATAGTTTTTTATTTCTATTTTGTTATACTTCTTTGAGAAAGTTTTACTTGTTTATTTGTTTATATCTAGTTCTTGTCCTTGATAAATTGACAAGAATATACTTACAATATCAGAGCTTCATCTTTTCATGATTAAGAGTGGATTATCCCTTTCTCTTGATAAGACATAAGTATATTAGTGGTTGAGGCCAAAAGTTGTTGATTAGCCTCTTCTAAACTAATATTATTTTTTATATTTTCTTTCTTTTCAAGTTCTTTTTTTTACTTGTTTAAAGCGATATCAGACATTTTTTTTCTTCTAAGTATTATTATGATAGAGCTTGTCAAAATGAAAAAAGTAATGACACAAATGCAAGTACAATTGAAAGAGTTAATGCTTGTAATGCATCAAGTCAACTTACCACAACAAAGAGAAAAAAGAAGAGATATAGAGATGATTGGAGCTGCTTCAACATCTGCATCAAATCATGTCTCTTTTCCTATAGTAAAACATCATTCAAGTGCTAAAAAACCAAAAATTACCTAAACCTAAGAAGTTTGATGGTATAAGATCAAAGTTTCAAGGATTCATCAATTAAGTACAACTAGCAATTGAACTTCAATTCCAAAGCTATCCAACTCTATGATCACAAGTCATGTTTATTGGAATATTATTTTTTGGTTATGTATTATCATGATTTTCAACTTTTTTTGAATAATGTGATTCAATATTGGACAACTTGGAAGTTCTCTTGATAGAATTTTGATCTATATATAGAAAATATAATACAATTTAAATTGTAATAAATAAGATTCATATTTTGTAACAAAAAAATATGATCTATATATAGAAAATATGATGTAATTTAAATTGCAACAAATAAGATTCATATTTTACAATAAAAAAATAATCTATAATATTGTATTCTTCACAATTTAGACAATTTATAATTGATATCAAGTGTGATGATATTCCATTCATTAGCCAATTTTTTTATAGATTATAATATGAGATAAGAAATTGATGCTTAGTTTACCTAATTCTCAAATATTGAGTCAAGTAATTGATTTTGCTGTAAACTGTCACAATCAATTTTTTGAATTTTGATCTAAAAATTGCATAAATAGGCCTCAAAATTATTACAATTCAATGGCAATACCAATATCTTTTCAACAGATACTTTTGGAAGTAGAAGATATGCAAGTTAATGTAATATGTTTCAAAGAAGCAATACAATCATAAAATGAGAAGTACAAATGTCAAAGAAGATTGTATGTCAAAAAATAAATTTGTCCAGCTATAATAGTGACCGTGGAGTTGGAACCTTATACAATACCTAATAAAGATATTATTCTCTCTTCAATAGATATTAATTTAGAATTTAAACATCACAAAGCCTCTACCTTATTAGATTTAGAAATCTCAACTTATTTTTTAAATGAAAAGTTTATTTAAAGTTATAACATACATTTAAAAAAAAAAAAAAAAAAAAAAAAAAAATTATTCATGTAGAAGTCATAGATGATTGTCTATTATTCTTTGGAGACATTATTTATAAAATAATTCATCTAGAAGTAATAATTAATGGTTATAGTAGCTTTGTGGTATTTAATATCATTAAACTTCCTTCTAATTCAATCATTTTAGGTCTATCATGATTAAAAAAGTGTAATCTTCAAATAGATTGTATTTTTTTTAGTCTTGACTTTTTTGAAACTATAATTAAGAGTATAATTAATTAAATATAAAGTCATAAGTTTAATACAACCAAACTTATATTTATTAGTATAAGAAATTTCTTGCGTACTACAAATGAAGAATCATTTTGTATCATTTATGCCACACTTATTTCTAATGGTGGAAAAACTTCAAGTAGCATTCTTAGCTAATGTCAAGATTTTCAAGATGTATTTGAAAAAAAATGCAGATATTCTATAAAACATTATCCCTATGATTACTCAATTGACCTTCAAGAAGAAGCTCAATTGTCATTTGGATCAATCTATAATTTTTCACAAAATAAATTGTTTGAATTCAAAAAGTATATTGAAAAGAATTTGGCCAAGAATTTCATATGCTATTCCAAATCTCCAACTGAAGCTCTAATTTTATTTATGAAGAAAAAAGATTAATCATTGTGGATATGTATCAATTATCAAAGTCTCAATAAGATCACAATCAAGAATAGATATGTGCTACTTTTGATATTTTGTCTTTTTGATTAATTGAATCAAGCTAAGATTATATAAAAATAGATTTACAAGGAGCATACAATTTGGTACACATCAAAGAAGAAGATGAAAAATAGACTACATTTTGAACTAAGTATAGACATTTTGAATATAATGTCATGCCTTTTGGACTCATAAATGCACCAAAAGTTTTTTAACATTTTATGTATGATGTCTTTCAAGAGTTTTAGGATGATTTTATTGTTTATTAACTAAACAACATCTTAATATATTCTAAAAACATAAAAAAATATAAACTTCATATTTGTCATATATTATAAAAACTAAGAGATGCAGGACTCTTTGTCTAGTTAGAAAAGTATATATTTTATAGTACTCAAGCTGACTTTTTAAAATATATCAAATCAAATGATGGACTTATGATGGATTTTTAAAAAGTTCAAACTATTATAGATTGTGAGATCTCAAAAATGGTAAAAGATGTTTAATGCTTTTTGGAATTTACCAACTAATATTGGAACTTCATCAAAGACTTCTCTCAAGTTATAGCTCTACTTATACATTTGACTCATAAAGAAAAACTTCAATAGAATCAAGAAACAAAAGTAGCATTTGAAGCTTTAAAAAAAGTATTTATTTTTGCATCAATCTTGTATTGCATCAACTTTTTTAAGCCATTTTTTATGGAAATAGGTGCATCAAACTTTGCTTTCAATGCCATATTGTCATAAATGAAAATAAGTGATAAACTTCACTGAGTAGCTTTTTATTCCAAATTTTTTTTAGTAACTAAGTTCAATTATAAGATCTATTATAATAAAAACTTCTTGCAATGATGGATTTTTTTTCAAGAACAGCATCATTTTTTAGAAGGTGCTTGTAATTTAATCACCGTATATATAAATCACAAAAACCTTAAGTATTTTATGTTAGCACATATTTTGAATTGTTGCCAAGCATATTAAAGCATGTTCTTATCAAGATTCAAATTCAAGATCATTCATTGACTAGGAAAATAATAAAGTTTATCAAATGTAATTTTTAGACAATCATACCTTATATCAAAAGAAAGAGATGGTGCTTTTGATCAACAATAAATAATTTTCTTGAAGTTAAAAGATCTTCATCTTTGAGCAATGAAATCAATACTAACTGTTGATTCAACTTTCATTAAACAAATTCAGTGAAGTATGTCTTTTAATCCTCTTATTTGTGATATTAAGAAAAATCCTTTAAATTCTCATGATACTTTCAAGTTTGAATTCAAGAACAATCTATTATATTTTGAAGGATGCTTATATATTCCAAAAAGTGAAGCTCAATTATATGTTCTTTAAGCTTGTCACAATTTTTCAACAACAAGTTATTTTCAATACAATAAGACTTTGGAACTATATGCAAGGACTTTTGGTAGCCTCATATGTCAAAAGCACTCAAAGATTTTGTAAAATCTTGTAATATTTGCTTAAGATAAAAAACTCCTCGTCATCGACCTTATAGACTTCTTTAGCCATTATCCTTTCCATAATAACTACAATCTTTT